GCACCATCATAAAAATGCAGTTAAAAATTTAAATGCCAATTTGCTAGGTCATCGCCGAGCGGATGATTGCTTGCCAAGGTACGTTGTGTATTATGCGAAAAGTACCGAATGAAAATCTGTTGATATATAGTGTTGATCTGTTGATATAAAGACGGGAAACTTGTCGCTGATTTATGGACCCGTACAGCCGAATTTATGGCGTGCAAACATAAATTTTAATTGCCCAAAAAGTGGTCATTTCAATAGGTTTAATTAGAATTCACATGCTTAGCTGCTCCCAGATAACTCACTTAATGCAATGGTTTATGGCTTTTGATTTTAATAAATCGCTTTATTTATTTTTCCTTTGCTTCCTCTGCAGCTGCGAACGATTTAGTAGAACGCCTCACATATTGATTTATATAGTTTGCATTCAGAGGAAGAGAGATGCCTCTTCCTCCGGACCTGGGCACTTTGTAAACAATTATAGAAATTATTGAACGCCGAAGAGAATTTCTTTGTAATTTACTGTCGATAATGTAGCCAATTTGTATACTCGTGTTGGAGAAGCGATTTGCTAAATTACAAAAATTTTGGGGGGCACATTGCATCTGGTTCGCTGGCCGATTTTATCTGGCTTTTTGTCATGCCGAGCTGGCCAAGAGTTGTTTACGATGTGTTGCTTGGGATGCCTGCTGCTCGGAAGCTTTTGTGTATTTTATTTTTCATTTGTGTTTTTCTTTTTCCTCTCGGCCAGCGCTGCGTGCGAAGTAAAATGTGTGAAAATTCGCAGGGCCAGAGGGAAACTATTTTCAGTTGTTTCCTTCTTTGTAGTATCAGCTAGTTGCGGTGCTGTTTAAGCCGATTTTTTTCTCTCCCTTTTTTTTGCTGCTGCCCGTACTTTAATTACATTTTATTGGTCACCGCGTGGCCGTAATTAGCTTGGCCAACTCTGGTTAACCACTGGGCTCCGTTGAATTTATATTGGAAAATAATCTAGCATGGAAGAAATCTAAAGAATAATGGTTTTTTGCATGACACCACGCTTTTTCTCTTTGTCCGGCGACTGACACCCGCTGGGCTTTAGACAGTTTTAATTAAATACCGAATGGGCAGAGGGGAATGCGATGTCCTGCCATGCCAGCTCCCTATGTGGCTATACTTATGGATGGTTATTAGTCCCCGTCAGCTGTGAATAAATTTCAATTCGCCCACATGCAAACCGTGTCAGACGTCGATCCCTTGATTGTAAAAAGCAATAAAGTAAGGAGAACAGATTAATTATGGAGTGCATACTATGTGTAAATTGATTTCATCTTCGAACGAATTCCGTTTTAGCGATGGCATACACTGCGTATGCGTGATGTGTAGAAGTGACAATGAAAATGAAACCACAAGCAATTGACAGACGGGGAAGCTATTAATTAAAATAACAGCCATGTTAAATTACAGGACCTACAATTCCTTACATTAATTCCATTTGAAAACAATTCGCTTTTTGAAAACCGATTCCAAATCGATATCTTATTAGTATTACATTATGATGATGACATTAAAATTTATACGCAAAAATGGGCACACAAATCACCGGAAAAGCGAGTGTTGTCTAAGCATTTGGGATAAAACACATTTCGAAATGGATATGTGGATATGCCTGTCACTCAATTTGGGAATTGTCACTGTAGCCAGGAGCATGACAGTTGTAAGGGTCGAAAAGGGCTCAAAAATCAAAAGCTATAAATAACAAAATAGAGTGCGGAGTCCTGCCAATCTATATCAACATTTTAAGACGACAGAGTGCAGAAGTATTGAAGTTTGCCCAATTACTGGAATTGCATTTTTATAGCCTGCCATCATAAATAACCGACAAAAGGAAAGCGTCGAAATGAAAACCGGGCAAACAAGCCAAAACAAAAACAAAAAATCCGTGCGTCATTTGTTTTTCCTTACTGTATTCTTTTGTTTTTCATGGAATCCAGGAAAAAGCAGAACCATAAAAAGATCACAATAAATGCAAAACTGCTGAGAGTATGCACATATGTACATTTCGCCCACACGAATATTTACTCCATCGTTTTTTTAAAGGCTTTATTAGTGTTTACTCGGTTTGGTGACGCAACGCGTAATTGTTGCCGAAAAACCTCAAGTGATGATGATGTAAATATTTACATAGCTAATAGAAGGCACTTTTTGCGCTGCCTGTGCGTAAATAGTAATCAGAAAAGAATAATAATAATAATAAATAATAATGCTGCTCGGGGCCAATAGCTGTAATTAACCAGCTGGATGTCGGGGTGTGGAAAGATTTCAGACCAGAGTCAATACGCAAAAATGTGAAGTACAACAGGAGGAAAATTATGCTGATTGCTGTGCGATCTCGGCCACTTCTTGGCTTGTTTGCACGGACAAAATACTTGTACATATTTGACAGGCCCTGCGGGGCATTCAAGCACCTCGATAAGTTTTCCAGCGAAACGCCTCGTAATTAGAATAATTATTACCGCTAGGCGCGAACGTTTTTTAATGGCACTTTGTGTTTTTGACATTGTTCTAAGATAATTACGCCCAATACCTGTGGGCGGGAAACTTGCGAAGGTAGTGGGTGTCCTGAAAATAAAGGCACTTAACTGTCGAGAATTTGAAGGTTAAGTAAAAGAAGGTAAGGGAAGAAAGGTTTGCTTGTATCTGATGTTCTAGAAAACTTAAAAAAATATTCCCTTTTCATACAAATGCGATCATTTCCTTCAGTTTGAATGATGGCCAACACATAAAAACATCATAGCATTGGTTCCACCAATTTTGTCAGAGTTTATATATATATTCTAAAAACCGCGCATTTTGTTCCAATGGCCCAGAGTTAATATTGGGTGTAATTTATTTCTTTGAAAAAAGTAGATAAATAATTACCGGAAGCTTTGCTTAACGAATTGCTTTCTTTACCAACTGGAAATTCACAGAAACCATATTTATTTTGGCAGCGGCGAGATTACATCATTGTTTCCATTTTGTATTCCAAAGCCCACACAATTTGAACTGCATATAACCCATCAATCTTACAGCCCCTGAATAGTGTGAAATTAATTCAAATTAATGGCAATAATTGCTCATCTCTGCGTCTGTCAAATGACGTCTCCTTACTCGGCCACTGTTTTCCATCCGCCTAATCACCCATCCTTTTGCAAATAGCCGTCTATTTATAACCGAAATCCAACTTCCTTCCCAATGCCATTAAATGGTCGAAAATGCAAAGAAGGCCTCCATTCTCGGCTGACAAACGTATTTATTTTGATAATTCTTCGGCTCTGATATGCCTATTTGTTTTCGCTGGCCGGGAACGTGCACAAAATCGAGAAAAACGAAAATAAAAGCATCTCAAGTGAAATGATCACAGGAAATTAGTTATTTTAATTGTTCGTACAAGAAATTCCTCGCTTGATTTTGTGTTCAACTACGAATGTAATTGCAATTAAGCAACCAAGCAATTGGTCGAAAGTACGACAATCCGGATCGTACAAGTTACAATTGGTATGTCATCTAATTAGCCAAATTTGCACTTGGCAAACAATGCTGTGCAGCCGTATCTTCAGGGGAACCCAGCGAAGGGTCGTACTTTATATTTAGATATTTCTCAATTATTTTTGACAGCTCCCTTTATGCTCTCACAAGGTTCATTTTGATTTCTCATCATAGTTCTCATCATGTGCATCATTGCTCTAATTCTTTAGGTTTTTTTGTTTCTATAATTTAAATAGAAACAGTGATTATAAGACATGTTCTTCTTCATTAATTTTTATGATATTGTTTGCTGCCTATTTATGCAAAAATTCATGTAGATAATTGGAACAGCTTCCAGTGCATTTGTTCTATGTAAATACATGTTGTTGAAAAATTATATAAAATAAAATAAAATATCCTGGCCATTTTAGAGGGTATTCAGAGCTTCGTCGTCTGACAGAAGTGCTTGATTTAGTCGTAATTTTCAATTTGCTTTATTTCATCGCATTGCATACATTCAGGCGTCGACTGCGTCGCCGATTGCAAGAGATTTCCACGGAGGGAGATTTATGAATGAGCATAAATTAGGGGGACTCGTAAATGTTGGCACGCAGCCCCACTTGCCATGGCCACATAGTAGTGTATTGCCCATTACCATGGCATTCCAACCCATTCCCGCTCATTATTTGTGCCTTCTGCTGTTTAATTTTGCGTATGAATAGGCAAAGTCAAGGACATTCGGAGATGGCGACGGCATTTCACTGTCAACTCCTGCGGCTGCCATTTGGCATACCAATGAGGGTTCGCCTTCTGTCCTAATTGAATGCGGACTTCTTGAAAAATTATCACAAAAGGGTTTCGCCGTGGTGCCCGGAAAAATTCAGATATTTAACACGCTTCAAGCTGTCAGCGTGTTGAATACAGAATGCCGAAACATTTTTCACTGTTGCTCTTTTTTCGACGACCTCGTCAAACCAATTTTCCACCTCTTTGGAAATCCATTGCAAATTGAACGTTTTTTTTTGCAAAAGCACAATCTGCTCTGCGTTTTTCAGCTTAGGCTAGTTAGCTCAGATTTAAAAGGCTTTTAGCGTAAATTATAAAATTTGAATAAAATGATTGGAAATCGTGAGAAAAATGCAAATTTTCTTTTTAGAAACGTTTTTTTATATTCTAAGCGGATTCATATAAAATGAGTGTGAAAAATTCCGCCTATTTTAGTTCAGACTACTAGCTTATTCTGTTTTGTATAAAATGCAAATATTTTTAATAAAAGGTTTTCAACCATTACGTAGGGTTAAAATCTGGTTTAAGCTTGAAAAACCTAAATTCATTTTTAAATAAATACAAATTGTGTCCTTACAGCAATAATGAAGACTTAAATAAAATCCATTGCTTTGTATAAATAGATATTTTGCGGGCTTAAACAAATATAAATAAAATATAAATTCAAGAAATTTTAGAAGTTTCATAGTTATATTTTGTTCTCCGCCAAGAAAATGTTTCAAATAACTAGTCATATTTACTTTTTATAACTGCTCCTCGCCTTTGGAATTTCTTCTTTTCCAAAACTTAAAATTCACTTTTTTCAACCGTTTTTCAGGTAATTTTCGATTTTTTATTTGGTTAAAACGCACGCGACGATTGCCGTTGCCTAATACTGACGGTATGTTATCTTTGGAGAACCGCTAGCGCCTAGAATCCTTTGCAGACTGTTTCGATTATGGCCAGGTCTTTTGCTTTTATCAAAGTGGAAAACTCAACACGGAGAGAGCGTAGGAGAGTGTTGCAGCCGCGCGTTGGCAACATGTTGCTGGCAACAAACTGTTGAATTGTTTTTCTTTTTGGGCAAAGATTTCCTGGGCTTTTTCTTCTCCTATGTGGTAGTTCGTCCGGGCAAATAAAAAGCGAAAAAAATACGCAGGCATTGTTTTCTGTAATATGGCTAATTCCAAGTAAACTTTGCGCCAGCACTTGCAGTTATCTACAAAATATCATAAACATACGTTGGAAAATGATTTCCGCCAATGCTGAAACTGCTATGTTTTTCCTCTCATTTTTGTGGGTGGCTGTGGGTGGCAGTGCGCTTAATTGTAGTTCCCCCAGGGCCTTTTGACTTTCAATGTTTTATCTGCATGCCATATTATAATTCACTAGAAACGAGCTTCCTTCGGCTGCCCTTCGGGCCCAGTGCGTGTGTGTGGGTTTTCCTTTTCCCATTTTCCTCGCCCTGGCAATGTCAAGTGTTACTCATGCATGGCCGCCGAGCTTTTCCACATTTTCCCGCCCCCAATCCACCTGGTTTCTGCTCGCGTGCGGCTCATTCATTATTCATCTTTTACTTTTTACTTTCTGCCTTTTTCTTCGTGTTCTATTATACACATGTATGTTTTGTGAGGACTACAATTGTGCAAGGATTTATGTCTAAGCCTTTAAAGTTAATTGTTATGACTCTTGAAAAGGTTTCCATTTTGACCGAAACGAAAACTAAAAGTGTTTATTAATCATACGCCCCATGAACGCCATTGTGTGTGCCTGGTTCCTAATCTCTGGGTCATATCAAAGGGACGGACCTGTGTCCATTATGCAATTGCTACTGGGCCTCGAGTGCCAGCTCACTGAGTTTGTGAGTAGAATCTTAAAGGTAAGACAGAGGGTTAAGTTTAAGACTGGCGGAGTTATTACTTCATTCTTACTTGTTGAGTGGAGCCAAAGAGAAAATACATAACTTACAAATACTTAACACGTGTTTTTCAAATTCAATCACTCTTTAAAAACAAAGAAATGCAGAACACCTATGTAATTTTTCGCTGAATTCGTAAACTTGCTAAAATATTTTCTCATTCGCTCAGTTATTTATTTCTGTTGTTTTAGCCTGCCCGCTTTGGTCTACTTCAAGCTTGTATAAGAACTTGACTTCCTAGAACATGTGTGATCTTTAAACTTTATCTCCTAAATTACAAGACGTTGTAACCTGAGAAAAACAATCTGCGAAACCGCGACAGAACAGAAATCCCATAAGAAATAGCTGTGAAATCCCGGCATTAGCAACTCGGCTCATGAGAGTTGGCCATAAATTTTCCCCACTAATGCGCCGCTTATCACTCAACTAAAGATGGCTAAGAGGATTTTGCGCTGTCTTTGCGTTTACAGGGAAATTGGAAAACAAAGGAAATCATGTGTTTGTATATTTCGTACAATTAAAATATTTAAAAACCAAAAAAATGGGCGCATGGAACAGCAGCCACAAAAAAATCAAAAATAGATTTTAAATAAGTGCCTCAAGCATGTGCACAAGTTTAGTTTTTCGGGGCAAAAAAATTTGTTTACATTGCTTAATTGAAAGTATTTTTCTGCTTCACAGTTTTATTTTTTTTGGTTTTTGGGTTTTTTGTTTCGGTTTGTTTTTATTATACATAAAGTAAAGCACATTTTCAATATTGAAAATGTGTAAATTTGTTAATGGGATTTTGTGGGGTAGCATGAATAAAACATTCACCGAATAATATGTAAAAACGAAATAAAAGAAACTCCAAAAATTTGCCATGCAAATGTTTATAAACCAAAAAGAGGAGACTGGGGATTCATCATGGCATTGGTAATGGTTACCAGTTCAAATGCAGCCACAGGCCGCCTCAAATAAATTTTCAAAATTTATCATGCCCCATACACAAGCACACACACGTTAAACCCCGAAAAAAGAGCAAATATTTGCAGGGGAGCTAAAAAATTTGGGGGTTTTTTTAGTTGAGGTGGTTCTGAAGAGCGATTTTCCTTTTGAGACCTTAAATATATTGGCATATTCTTTTGTTTTTGATTTCTTAGGAGGAAATTCGGAAAGTTTTTATTTCGGGAACACTGCTTTGATTGCGATGAGGAACTTTTTATGCTGGCGCAATACAATCCCCTGCCAATATTCTTTCAGTAGTCTGGCTTTGTTTTTGTTACCCTAACCAAGAGTATTTGCATTGTGAAATACTTTTCAAGCTTTAGTGTTTTATTCACTGTATTTTATTGTATTTGGAATTCAGTGTGTCTTCTAATGACTTGGGATGTATACCTTGTTCCTTAAGTAGCTATATTTTTAATATACCACAACAAAGTGTACTTTAATAAGAAGAGTGTCCTCAGATTCGGTTGGCATTAAAGGAGCTGTTCCTTCATCTGCCCCAATTCTTTTGTACTCAGCTCGCCGTCTTATCAGCATCGGGAAAGCGTATTATATAACATAGTGTGGGAGGCAAAGAGCAGATTGCGGCAGCCGGGCCAAAAGCTTTATTTATTTCTGTTTACATTGCATTAAACAGCTTGCAATCAAAAGGAGAAAAGGCGACACAATCACTAAAATCAAATTCAGCTTAATTAATTCAAAGTGCAAACAACTAGGAAAAGTCGGCAGATTGGATGCATGGGGGATGAGTAATAGGCAAATCGTGATATCCAGCCAAATTACCTTGGACCCTCGATGGGATTAGACAGATTGTGGATGTGGCACGCCCCTTATTGAGGTTTCAAGTGGTTCGTGAGCCGACTTAGTCGCTGCTTAAGTTAATTGCCTTGCTTAATTAGTTGTCCTTTGTGTCTATGTGCCTGTTTGGGCCGCACATAATTATAAATTAATGCGATTGACAGGCAGTACAATGAACAAAATTGGTAATTGGGAATGTTCTTTGAAATTGAAACGAATTTGCCGGACAGTTTTGGCATTTCGTAATTGAACGCATTCGACACGCAATGAACAACCGGAAAAGCGGGCATAAATCACAACATTTTCCGCGAAATTGTCTGCCAATTTTTAGGCGCAAAGTGTGTGCCGGTTTTTGTGATCCATTTTCCTTTTCTTTTTTTTTTTTTTTTTGTGTGCCATGCATGTGTTGACATCTGCAATTGGCTGCGGGCTGACATTTAACGCGGCACGCAATCGATGGCTTTCACCCTTAAACTCGCCCACTTTTCCCACTTTCCGCGCTTTCCCTTTTGCGGGATTTCCCTCTTTGCTGCGGAAAATTTTGTCGTATTTTTGGTGGCTGTTTGTATGTTGTTGTCCCCGAGCGATGATTGAGTGAGTGCTTTAGTCGATCGTAAATGTTGCATCTGGCACATGCAAATATGTTGCAATTTGCCACTGGATTTGGGTATGTTGTATATACACGTGTCCCTTTGTTCAGTTTTGGTTCCATTTGTTGGGCAGTGTTCATTCCGTGGGGCTTAATCGACAGGAAAATCAGTAAATAAAAAATTGTGCTGGCGAAAAAAATGGGAAAGTGAAATGAATTACTGTGCTGTATCGACAGGGAAGTCACATGTATGCACAACAATGCAGCACTGATTGGTTTGGGGTTTGCAAAAAGGAGTTTTTAGGGGTAAATTACAAGCAGATTAATGTAATTGATGCTATTTTCGGATTCATCTTAGAACGAAATAAATTAATTGAATAATTAAATACTCTAGAAAACGTGTCCTTCCACTCAGAGATGCGAAGCAATCTCGTTTTCTAACTCTGATTTGGAGAAAAGCTTCTTAATTTAATCATGTCTCTTCCTTTATCTGCTTCCGTTCATTTCAGATTCTTCGAATCTAAATCACAATTACAATGGGAAGCAAAGGCTCTCTCTCAAATTACCATCCAGTTCCCAGACATTCGACATTGATCCATTTCCCTTGTTGGTTCCTCTGCTTTTCCTTCAGCTTTTCCTCTGCTTTTGCTGGAATTTCGCTGCTCAGTTTCCCTGCATTTCACAGCTTTCCCTCTTCATCATGTTATTTTTTTGTGGTTTTTGGCACTGTGAAGCCATTTGGTTTGTGCCAATTGCTGCGGGCTTTTTCATGCCTCATCCCTTTTCCGACTTATTTTCACATTCCGCTTGCGGATTGATTTTACATTTGTAATTGCAGTAAAATTTTAATGGTCCATAGAGTTTTCATTCTGACAGAACGGAATTATTGACTTTAATTAGAGATGACAGACAACTAATGTTTCATAACTCCCAATATTTTTTAGAGTGCATAATATATTTATTTATATAATATTTAATATATACATTTCTTATGGATTTTCATACGCTTGATTATCATTCTTATTCATTTTTCTATTGCCGGGAAAGGGGCATATATTACAGTAGCAATAATGCAGACCAAGCACTCAAATAAGACCTTTTAATACCCTGTGAAAACAGGTTAGCTTATTGGGGTTAACCACATATAGAGAGGCCAACAAAAGGCTAGCGGTCACAATTGATGCTGAGAGCCTGAGATCCGGCACTTTTTGGCTTATTGAGTTGATTTAAGGCTGGATTACACTGATTCCATTCCGACAGAGTCAGATGAAATGTTTCTTCGTTAACTTTGGATAGACGAAGCAAATTTCCTTTTTGCCCCGCCCAGCGCAGGACTCAAAACAAACTGCAGCTCATTATCACGCCCACCCGACGCCCCCTTCGTGTGTGCCACGCCCCCTGCCACCCGTGACGCCCCTTTTCAATGTGGCTGCCCGGGTTGCATGCTTCGTTTTGGTAAATTGCTGGCACTTAATATGCCATGAGAGCCAAATAAAATTGGCAGCAAGAACGCAGCAGCAACAGTTGAAGGATTAATTCAATAAGAATAAATACTGAAAATAAGAAGATTATAATGCCTTTTGGGAATTGTGTCTTTCGCACGTATTTACCCAGCAAATTTGTGCAACTTAAAGCGATGCCACCACGTCGTATGCGTAATATCCGCGTAAAGTGTAATTTGGCA